GATGCAAGACTTCAAACCTTCTTTGACATGTGAGTTCACAGCGTCGGTTTAATTTATTTACTTTATAAATTTCGCATAAGCTTTGAAAGTATAAGCTTTGTTCGTTAACATAAATTAATTTTACGTATACAATAATAATTTTAGAATTTGTAGAAAAAAAAAGACAATAACTTTAACAAAAGTATATTAATTACCTGATTTTCCTTTTAAAAAAAGAGAAATTTCTATTGTTCCACTGATGTTCTCTACTTATTAACTGTCGAATCTGTATTATTTTTTTAATTTGATATAATTTTTGACCATATTTAATAAAGATCCGATGGCTAATCAACAAGAAAGACTTAAAAAATAAACCACCAAAGAAAATCCTAAAAAATTAAAAAAAAAGTATATTAGCCCGAAATGGATAATTTTTTTAGGTTTTTTTCTTTTTTTGGAGGAAGACAAACTTTTGTTACCACATTATTACAAAATCATTATTTGACAAACTAATTGTATCATTGTACCTTTTGTTTTTACATACAACATACAAAGTCAATTTTTTGTGGAGAACGTTAAGCCTTTGCTCAAAATATATAAAATTCACTTTTTTAGGTAAAAACTGTGCAAAATACACGTTATGAATCTTTTTGAATTTTTGTGAGATTTGTTAAGCAATATAGGTTTTGTATAATTTTTTATTTTATAATAACCTTTTTTAGTTTTTGATATCGTATAATTACTCTAAGGTAGTAAGGTTCATGGAATTTTGGAACGTACAGACAATTATGATTATCAATTATTTTAAAGATATTGTGCAATGGGAGAAAAGATAAAGGAAAGTACTTTGGTGGGAGCATAAGAATACTGCCCTAGACCCACCTAAATGCTAGGAATTAAATATGCTAGATTATTGGATAATGGAACAAATAAGATAGGTCTAATATAAAAAGAAAAATACTTGATTATTAGATAATGGAATAAATAAGGAGATTAATTCATGTTTTCCTCCCTCGTACCGTAGATTAATGGGAATTATTAGTAAAAGTGAGTCCGATAAGTGTTGACTTGGAATAAAATGAATATGTTAGGTGTATAAACACTAATCCGACGAGATATTTATTATTTTTTTAATGTCCACTAACAACGCACTAATGCAGGGTGGACAAAAATGCGGACGGTCGAATCACTGAAGAAGAGGTGAAGGAGGTGAGAATTTGTCTTTTCTTTTGTTTTTTTCTTCTTCTATTTAATAATAAGTGAAAACTAAATAAAAAATATTATATATTTTGGAATTAGTGGGATTTTTTTTATATTATATGACATATGTAGATTTTTTTATGTTAAATTGCAGATTATATCGTTAAGTGCTGGTGCTAACAAGTTGTCAAAAATTCAAGAACGTGCTGAAGAATACGCAGCACTTATCATGGAAGAGCTGGATCCAGACAACCTTGGTTATATTGAGGTTCACATCTTCTTCAGAATGCAAAAAAAAAAGAAAAAAAAAAAAAAAAAAAAAAAAAAATTGTGCAACTTTTTTGCAGGGTTGAGTAAATTATTCAACGTGATTGGATAACCGATATATCCAATCCAATTCAAAAATTAAAAATCTATTTAAATTGGATCGAGCTCCTATTTTGAGTGTTAAAATCAAATCAATTGATTCAATCAAATATATAATATATATTTTTAAGTATAATTTTAGATTTTTTTCCTTAATTTTTATTAGTTTTTAAAGTAATGACTATACACCCACTCACACAAAACTATTTTGAAGTCGAAAACCTTGCGTTAGTCGCTCTAGTTTTTACGTGTTTTTCGGATTATGTTTTTCTTTGTTATCAAACATGTTTGTGTCGGCTTGTTCTTAGATTTATTTGTGCTGGCTCATACTCCACTTTGAATTTGTAGTTGATGACTTGATGCTCATATTTTATTGAAATACTTTTTAAAGACGTATTAGAATCCCACATTAGTTGAAAATATTGACATGATCTACTTAATAAGGTGAGAACAATCATCTCTTAACGAGTCGGTTTTGTTAGGTTGAGTTAGCCCCAATATCCTTTGATTTCTGTAAAATAGTCTTAGAGCAGGCCCAGTTTTGTAATGTCAGGTCTCCTAATATCGACTTATTCGCAGCGGTTTGGCATGGTCCACGCTGTGCGTAAGGGAGCGTATTAGAATCCCACATTGGCTAGAAATATTGGCACGATCCACTTAATAAGGTGAGGACAATTCTCTCTTAACAAGCCGATTTTGTTAGGTTGAGTTATGTCCAATATCCTTTAAATTCTGTAAAATGACGTGTGCTTAAATTTAGTTTCTATTTAATCCACTTTTCTACAACTAGCGCCTGTTAAGAATAATAAACATAATTTTAAATTGCAAATTACATTATGGGGAAAAAAAATATAAATATCCAGTCCAAATCCAAATCCAATTGGATTAGATTTTGTACATAAATCGGATGGATGGGATATAACATCTTGAAATCTAATGACATCGGATTGAGTTAGATGAGGAGTATTAGATTGAATTGGAAGCTCACCCCTCTCTGTTTGGAATAAACTTGGATAAAATTGTCCAGTCCAAAGCTCTCATATGTGTGTATATAAATAATATATATATATATATATAGGAAAAATATACCCTTATATATTGGAAAAATATCGAATTGGTCAATTTTTAATGAATTTCATTTTCCAAGTCATCCGTGATCGTTTTATCAAAATAACCATTTAAATTTGTTTCAAAACTCTCTACATCCACCATCATTTTATCCCATGCCATTTACTTCAATTGAGATTAAAAAGTAAGAATGTATTAAAAGTTATGCCATTTACTTCAATTGAGATTAAAACGTGAGAACGTATTATAGTTCTTTTCTAATTTCTTCTGTCAATCTCAACACCAATATTCTCCATTGCAGCTGTACAACTTGGAAATGCTACTTATACAAGGCCCAGCACAATCAAGCAACCTAAAATCAGGCACAGACAGCCGTGTTCTTAGCCAGTTGCTAAGCCAGAAGCTTGTCCCAACCAAAGAGCACAACCCCATAAAGCGCTGCTACAGAAAGTTTGCATACTTTGTGGAGGACAATTGGAGAAGAATTTGGGTCGTGGCCTTGTGGCTCGCAATCTGTGCGAGCCTCTTTACGTGGAAATTCATCCAGTACAAGGATCGGGCCGTGTTTGATGTAATGGGCTATTGTGTCACCACTGCTAAGGGTGCTGCCGAAACACTTAAGTTCAATATGGCCCTCATTCTCTTGCCCGTTTGTAGAAATACAATTACTTGGCTTAGAAGCAAGACCAAGTTGGGATTAGTGATTCCCTTTGACGACAACATTAACTTTCACAAGGTAATACTATTGCACTAAAAAAAAAAATGAAAAAGACTATAGACCACTACTATCTTTAATCACCACATTATATGCAATACGACATTGAACCATCTTGTAATATTATTAAGAAAAATGCATGTAACAACAGTAAAAAAAAAAAAAAAGGGGAAAAATGCAATACGACATTGAAAAATGGATGTCTAACACCATGAATGATAAAAAAGAAAAAAATGGGCCCCACCAGTAGGTGGTACAACTAACATTTCTTAATGTTAGGAATGTGACATTACATACATGTACCCTGTTGTTGAAATTTTAAGATAAAAACCAACTTTTTTTTTTTTTTTTTATCTTCAGGTGATTGCTTTTGGGATTGCGGTTGGGGTTGGCCTGCATGCTGGAGCACATTTGACATGTGATTTTCCTAGGCTGCTACACGCTACCGACGAGGAATATGAGCCAATGGAGCCATTCTTTGGGGAAGAACGGCCGGACAACTATTGGTGGTTCGTAAAGGGCACAGAGGGCTGGACCGGGGTAGTCATGGTGGTGCTAATGGCCATAGCTTTCACCTTAGCACAACCTTGGTTTCGCCGCAACAGGCTAAACCTCCCTAAAAGCCTGAAAAGACTCTCTGGCTTCAATGCCTTTTGGTACTCCCACCACTTGTTTGTCATTGTTTATGTCCTCTTTGTTGTTCACGGATACTATCTCTACCTCTCCAAGAAGTGGTACAAAAAGACTGTAAGTTCATTTTTCAAATACACAAGTGACCAATAAATTTTATACATAATAATTTTCTTTACTACAATTTTCTAACTCTGGCTAAAATGTCGTGACAGACATGGATGTATCTCGCTGTTCCGGTTGTTTTATACACTTGTGAGCGCTTGATTCGCGCGTTCAGGTCTGGGTACAAAACAGTGAGAATCTTAAAGGTAATCAATCTAACGCTTGCTTTTCATCACATTGTTGTTTAAGCAGTACATACTTGTGTAATTAGTTAGTAATTCCATGTTCAATTTTCAGGTTGCAGTTTATCCTGGAAATGTCCTTGCACTGCACATGTCTAAACCACAGGGATTCAAGTACTCAAGTGGACAATATATATACCTAAACTGCGCAGCTATATCCCCATTTCAATGGTAATGTCGAAGGATTTCTTTTCTCTAAAGTTCTTATATTTCACTAGCTATCATTATGTGTTATGTATTGCCCCTATAAAAAAAAAAA